GGTGCTGCAGGCAAGGGCCGCACGGCCCCCTGTTCTGTGAACTGGGGAGCCTGCAGGTGTGTGGCCGGTGGGGGACCAGGTGAGCCCATTAGCACGTCCACAACTGCTCACAGGACTGCGGCCACCAGCGCTGATTGCTGCAGGTGATTGGGGTGGCACGTACCACGGCCTCCCTGGGGGACCCCAGACACAGCCACGGGGCAGGCCCTGTGGGAGAAGCCCCGGACGGATGTCGTGTTAAATGTGGTGACTGAACCGAGCGCTTGGCAGCAGCTGAACTTGTACATTTAGTGAGAGGTTAACGCCCAGCCTGCTTGTTGCTTATTCACCTTTTTTGTTCCCCTCCCTCCCAGGCCCTTCCCAACGGAAGAAAGCGTTAACGATGACGACGACGTCTACAAAGGCCTGCCTGACCTGATAGAGTACGTTGAGCATTTTCTGCCACATCGCACCACTGCCGATTTCTGCATCCTCTGTGGATTTTAACCAGGGGTGTTACGATAGCTCTCTGAAGGGGGAAAGTGGCTTAGTGATTAAGACACATAAGAATTAACCTCAAACTCCTGATGGGAAGGGTCACAAGAAAATGTGCTCCAAAGGGCCTTTAATTCCCACTGTGTGTCCTGCCTTGTGCAAGTCTCTCTGGAAAGTCAAGAAACAAACGGCAGTGAAGTACCATTTGGAAGTTTCTCAAAGGCGTAGTAGAGGTGGTAGATAAGCCTGCCATCAGGCAAGTAAGGAACAATCAAAGAGAGACGTGGAATCTGCCGCCGGGCTTGCAGCAGGAGCGACGGCGCCGCTGAGGAAGGGCGAGGCTAGCCTGGGCTGGAGCCATGCAGGGATGCTGTATCAGATGGTGTTGATTCTGAACAGAGGATCCTTTGGGGCTTTATCGTTGAATAGTCAGGAGAGGTTGAAGGTCCTTGCAGCTGATTATCTTATGCTGATTGAGTGACTTGTGCAGATTACAAATAAATATAAAACCTGATCCTTACCCCTCAAGGAACCAGTGTCAAAAGATCGGGTATGTTTGCAAAGAATTGTAATAAGACATAGATTATGCTCCAGGAGAGATTCAGATCCTGTGGAAATTCATCCGCTTATCCGTCCTAATGCCCCAGTGCACGGAGCTTGTTCTCAGCATTCAAGTCTTTGCTTAGCTGTCCCTCCCCACGAGGACTTCCGGACGACCCTGTCTAAGATTGGCACCCCCCTGCCCTTGCTCTGTGTTTCTTTGGCGCTCACCTCTGTCTGAGGCAGTCTCAGTGTCCTTTCTTTATTGTCTGTCTCCTTATTAGAAGGTCAGCTATGTGAGGTCAAGGTCTTTACCTTGTTCTTGGCTATCTTCCTAGAACTTCAACGTCTAGTAGGTCCTCAGTATTGCCTATTTTCTGATAAATAGACCAGAGCTGCGTTAAGCACCTGCTCTTTTGCAGGCATGATGCTTCAGGCGGGAGCTCTGTCATAAGACCTCTGTCAGTCCCTGGGGACTGATTGAATGCACATTTCTGTGCTAACCCTGTTCCACTCGCGCTCTCATGTTATGAGGTTGTCACTGCTATCACCGCATTTACACGAGAGAAAACTGAATCTTGAAAAGCAAAGTAACTTGCTGAAGATCATATCGCGAGTGAATAGTCGTCTTTGGACTTGAACCCAGGCAGCTCCTATTCTAAAGTACGTACTGCACTGACTCCCAGAAGCACCTGACTTGCCCCTCCAAGGACTTGCAGTCGGAGAGCATTGTGACAGGACCACAGGGGTGACCGGCAGCTCATGCCCGAGTCGGCTGCATTGGGTGGCCTTCGAAGTCTTGTGTTTTATATGTATAGTAAGAATGTCTTCTTATCTCTTCTCAAATTCTCCAAGAACTCACTAATCTTAAGCAGCGGAGTTGCTGTCTGTCTCATTGAATTGGCTACAGTCGTCATAAAGTGACTGTGAGGTTACTGGCAATATAATCAAATTCTTCAAAGTATTAGAAAGAATCTATTATTTCCAGTGCTGTAATGACGCTCTTTCTTAACCCCCACCAGTGGTCACTTAACGCCTACTAGTTTTTATAGTCGTTCTCATGATGCCAGGATAGGTCCTGTGAGGAGGTGCGTCTGGAGAAGACTTGGGCCCCCACGCTGGCTGCTCCAGGATGCAGCTCGGGCTCTGGGAGGCGCGTCTGCTCCAGCTCGCCATCTGGTGGTGGGAGGTCCAAATGCCGTGCGTTTCCTGCGAAGGCTTGCTTTTGAGTTTGCTGTGATGGCTTGATGTTCAGCGTTAGCTTTGTTATGATCTCCAGGGGCTCATCTAGTTCACACTAACCACAGGGGGGGAATAGCCTAAAGGGAAGCCCCCAGGACACGCACTGGTCTTCTCCCCACTGCAGAGGGAGTCGTTCTCCCCTCGCGTGGAGAGAGGCAGATGCAGGACGGCGTGGGGGGCGTGTGAGACGGCTGAGCTGTGCAGGGTCCTCACTCCTCCAAGCTGTATGCTCAGGGGTCACACGTGACTGTATACAGGCGGCCTGGACACTGGAGAATTAATACAGGCTGCTGTTGATTTATTGACCATCTTAAAGGATCGCAGGTCCTTCTTTCCTCCCACTTGTTCATTTTATGCAAATCGGAATTTATTGACCGAACTGTTGGTGAGAAAAACAGCTTTGGTATGGGACTGAATGACGAAACCGGAACTGTTTTAGCGCCGTCTGTGTGTGTGTGCACGTGTGTCACTCCTGCAGTTCTCAGAGAGAAATCTGCATTTATCCATGTGCTCCTCTCCCCACCCTCATGGGAAATAGCAAAAAATAAAAAAATAAATAAAAAGAAAAAGAGAGAGGGATAGAGAGAGAAACTTAAGCAAGATGATGGAGTTTTTGCTTGGTGGTTATTTTGGTTTTGGTTTTGTGGTTTTGTTTTGGTTTTGGTTTTGGTTTTGGATTTTTTTTGGTTGGGGGCAGCGGTTGGAGGGTCAGAGGCAGGAGAGCTGGGGTTAAGAATGCCAAAGAAGTGGATTTCACAGCCTGCTTTCCTTCTGAACTCATCAGACTTTCCTGTCCTTTGCTGAGTTACAGAAAGTGCTGAACCGGTTTAACTGCCCCCACCCCGTGCTCTCAGGCTGGGCTGCCTGCCTAAGCCCCTCAGTGTGGAAACTCTGGAGATGCCAGTGTGACTCACCATCTCCTCAGTTTTCCTAAGTAGAAAGTCTTTCACTGTCCCTGGTTCTCCCCATCCTGCTTGGTCCCCAGGTCTGGTTGGCTCTACCTGACAGCCTCCAAAGTCTCTGTTTCTCGCCACATCTGCCTTTTCCCGAGTTACGGCGCTCGTGACCTCTCCCCACAGTATTTCCTTGGCTTCCTGATCCTCCCTGCCTGTCTTCTTGACCCTTCACCCCACCCCTCTAAATGCCCTGTGGTCCCCAGATGTGCAGGTAAGGCCGAGCTCACAGAGTGCAAGGCCCTTCTCAGTTTGGTTCAGCTCTTCCCCTGGGTCTCACCTGACTCACCTGGGCACACTGGACAGGGACGCCCCCCTTCGTGCTGTGGACCCTGCAGTGGGCACGCTGGATGGGACACCCCCCTCACGCTGTGGACCTTGCGCACTGCTCTGCCTTCGCAGTGTTGGCGTCCATTGTCTCGGTGCTCTTCCCGTCTGTCTTCTCATTCAGTGTGTTACCCCCGAGGGCGGAAAACTGTCAGCCTCGTCTGCAGCTCTGTCTCCTAGAACATAGCATTTACTAAGCAAATATTCATTGACTAAATTAGTGTAGACATTCAGTATCCAGGCTGTGAAGGTTCCCCTGACTTCCTTAGTCGGAGCTCCTCTCGCTCTGTTCTCTGCGCGTGTAGTATGTGTTGATGTGCTGTTCTCCACGCTGGCCTGCGGGAGGGTCCTGGGACTTCACCCCTGCACTGCTGGCACTCACAGGTCCTGCACTCTGCACATTCTTAGTCAACACTAGGTGGTGAGTGGGCGGGCAATCCTGGGATGATTTCCTTCCCAGAGCAGAGTTCTCGCAAGACTTCTCCTACCACTAGGTACCTCGAGGCACCTTCCTTCCTTTTGGAAGTTCGTTGCTGTCAGAGACCTCCAGATAATGCTTCACGACAAACACAGGCAACCTTGTGATCACACCTTCTTTGAAAGATGCTCCATGTTGCAGAGTGACACTTAAAGTTGCAGTGTTTTCATTTTTGTCTGTACTGATTTATAATGTTCTGTCCACATGGGCCCAAAAGGAATAATAAGAGTTGGCAGTGTTGAAGGAGTTGCGTTTTTTTTTTCAGGGAGGTGTTACTGCTTCCTTCTAACGCATCTAAATGTACTAATCTTAGGTATTTGATGTAATTAGTTAATGGAAGCTATTTATCTGTAGGACTCTTGAGCTGGCAGGAGAAACTTAAGGAGCAGGAACAGAATGGTGACAAGTGGAAGCAGCTGTTTCTCCTTTGACTGACTAGGTTTACAATCGCACATGAAGGGTTTAGGACAGACACATCTGTCTGTCACTCTGTAAGTGCTCGTGGACGTTTTGAGAAATAGGAATTATTTCCCACCGCCAGGTGACCCGCAGAAGAATTTAAATGGCTTTTAAAAATGACTTGCAGCCTGGGGACCATTTCTTGAAACAAAATATGAATAAAACAAGTAAAAGCAGAAACTGGCTGAAAGGGGACCTGTGGGGACCCTCTCTGAGTGGCCTTGAAAACCACTGCCTTGGATACTGAAAATTACAACCCTGCAGAAACTGTTGCTTTAAAAAAGACTGTTCATAACATATTAGATTCTCCCCAACTCCCCTGTCTTCTCCGTGTTACACCTTTTAAGGCAGATGATGAAGTGGAGGCCTTGACAAAGGGAAAATGGGGGGCAGTGTGATAAGAGCCGTGAAGGTGCTCAGAGCATAAGACAGACGGGGGTTTAAATCCTGGCTCTGCCGTTTGCCTGGCTGTGTTATCCTGGGCAGGTCAGAGACCTTTTGTCCTCCCCAAGTCCTCATCTCTAGAACTGATCAAGGAATAGCGCCTCCCCGGTAACAGCCAGAGCTGGGCCCAGGCGACCTGGGTGAGACGATCGTGGTGCCCAGTGAATGCTGGCTGTCCCTGCGGGCCCCGGGGGTTCTGCTGTCATTTGTCCTTGTTCTTAGGAGGGGCAGAGCTGTGAAGGAAGCCTTTGACTCTTTCCACTCTTTCTATGTGATTTCCTCCCTGGATTTTCTACCGAAATCCCGCCAGCTGTTTCTCACCATCGAATTTATTGCGTGGCAGAAAATGACGTTCGCGTTATCCCCTCTGTTGCAGTGAAACCCGTGCGGAGGACGAAGAGGGCCTGTACGACTGTGTGTACGGGGAGGACGAAGGTGGCGAGGTGTACGAGGACCTGATGAAGGCAGAGGAAGCGCAGCCGCCCGTAGGCCTCTCACTTGCCTGCTTTTTTACGTTACTCTGAGTATTTTTTAGGAAAGTGACTATTTGAAGGGCTAATGAATGTCGTTACTTATGTAACTTCTGCTGGGATAGTTTTTTGTTTGTTTGCTTTTTTTTATCTTTCCTTGCTCATAACTATGTAACCATGGCTCGTTACTGCATCTGGAGACATAGGAACGTGGCATTTTATATAGTTCAGAACAACCATAGGGGGGTCTCTGGTCTAATCGTTTCATTTTGCTAGTAAGAGAGCCGAATCTGAGAGGTAAGTGACATGTCACCGCCTAAATAATGGCAGAGTGGCAATAGAACATAATTTCGGGGTAATCGTGAAATTGTGTTGTTATGAAGGGAAATCTCTTTTACCAAAGCAGGTAAATCTACTTTAAATTTGATGTAGCATAAATTATATGTTAAATCATATTTCTCTTTGTTAGGGGTTGATAGGAGATACTTCTCCTTTCGTTTCATTGTAGGTCTCCTAGCCTTTTTACTATATTATAAGCTTAGTTTCACATGTCACCCACAAAGCTTTGTCTACCACTAAAGTATCTAAAACATTCAGAATTACTTTGAATGATTTTCTCAATTTCTGTAATTTGAAATAGAAAAAAAAGATGAGTTGCTTAGCATAGTTGTCTTTTTTTTTTTAATATGAAAAGCTTTCTTCATCTGCTGGGTGGTAGTTGAGGCTCCTCCCGTGCTCTGGTGAGTCCACTCAGCAGTCTTTGTCTACTTACATTTAATAAAAGCCTGGCAGGTTGTCAGGGGCCCAGACAGGGAGGTAGCTTTTGTGGGATGGAAACAGGTGTCCTGGCCTGTGTTTGAAATGCCATGATGTGCGCTTTAACCCAGCGCACGAGCTGACAGGACGCCCCTGGCAGCGTTTTAAGAGTGAGGTGACAGAGTATCATCTGGACCTCCTTTAAACTGCTTTGAGCACCAGCAGATGCTGTATC